GCTACAGTATTTTTTTTATTTTTTAGAAAAACAGCATCAGGCTACAGTATTTTTTTTATTTTTAGAAAAACATCATCAAGCTACAGTATTTTTTTATTTATTTTTTTAGAAAAACAGCATCAAGCTACAGTATTTTATTTATTTTTTAGAAAAAGAGCATCAGGCTACAGTATTTTTATTATTTTTATTATTTTTAAAACAGCATCAAGCTACAGTATTTTTTTATTTTTAGAAAAAAACCCTCAGGCTACAGGTTTTCAGGGGCTGAAATAAACCCTCAGTCCAGATTCTCTGAGCTGAAACTAAAGTCTGGACAATCTGCTTATCCTGACGTCATGTTTACAGATAAAGAGAAAAGCTCTGAAGAATCTTTTTTCCTAAAACAGCTGGAAACGGACTTCTGGCTCCTGGAGCCGCCGTTTGGTTTCAGAACCTCCAGCGTCTAATAAACTCAGCAGAACCTCCATAACAGAGTCTAACTGGTTCCAGGACCGACTTCTTATGTTAAATATTGGTGTGTTGGTTCAAATCTTCCATCAGAATACTCCTACGATAACTCCTTAATAAATACTGCAGATAATTACACATAGCAATAAAACAAATGACTTATAGAGGAGAGATTTAAAAGAAATAAATGATAAAGAAATAATAAATAAAAAAGGTTTTTATTGGCAGGTAGAGACTGAGATACAGGACGAACCCTAACTTACTCTGACTTTACTACAGGAACTTTAAACTAACTTAGACTATTTATTTATATATTTTATAATTTTTTTTAATCTAACCTCCATTAGGTTAACTTTTCACTAACATAGCTGATTTATTTTTGTTTTATTTATTCATTTTTCTATTTTTCCGATTTTGTGATCTAACTTTCACTACCTGAACTTTAAACCAACTTAGCTTATTTATCTCTATTGAATTTATATATTTCTGATTTTAAAAAAATCTAATTTCCAATACATTAACTTTAACCGAACGTAGCTTATTTATTTTCATATATTCTTATTTTTTCAATTTTCTGATTTTAAAAAAAAATCTAACTTTCATTAACTGAACTTTAAAATGAGCCTTTTTATTTTTATTTCTTTTTCATATACATATATTTTTCTCTTATGACTTTGTCGTATGTTGGAAATGTACTTTGGGTGTTTTTAGTCGAATATTTGATCGTATTTCTCTTCGTGTGTTGTAAATTTGTAACCAGAGGTTCTGCTGGGTTTCGTCTCAGGTCATGTGACGACCTCTCAGTGAACAGGCCCCGCCCCCTCCCCGTCCCCGGCCGCTCTGATTGGCCGCTCACCTCTCGGCGTCCACCCTCAGCTTCTTGAAGGCCGTCTGCAGCGTGTCCTCCTCGGCGTCTTTGCCTCCAGCCTCCATGGCGGGAGGAGGCCGCTGCGCCCAGCCGCCCAGCTGCAGGGAGAGGG